ACTAGAGTATCCTAGGTCTTACTTCTACTATAGAAAAAGATAGTATTTAATCTAAGTCTTTATTAGAAACCTTCTTAAGTATTATAGTAAAGAGGCAGACTTACCTTACGACCGCTTACGAGAAGTTACGAGAGACTTACGCTTAGCTTATAACCTCCTCTTACCTCGTGAATATAAACTCACGATAACCCTAACTACGGATCCTAGACTTAGTGTCTAGGAACCCAGGTCATAACATCTAGATCCGGACGCTATAGTGCGGCTAATACTATAGTGCGGATTAAGGGTAGTTAGTCCCTATACCGTCGCCTATATACTCCTTTCTATAGTTAAAATCGTCGAAGTATCTTTTGAAGATATCTGACGATATCGGATAAACGAAAGGGACGAAAGTCACGAAAAGCAGTGGAAAAATAAGAAGGTAATAATGGGATTGTAAGGTAGGATCTCTGCGCGCATATTGTCTCTTCTTCGGATCGAAAAAGGGATTGAGATAAAGGATTGAGGGTTAAGAATAAAGAACAAAGAAAGGAAGAACCGAACCGAGGGAACGGGTTAATATCCTTTGTTCTTTGTAAAGGATCGATATCGTAATAGTATTGTAATATACATCGATATCGTAGTAATATCGTAATCCATTGTATCCTTTGTCTGACTCGTAATAGATGAACTGACTCGAAAGAGAACGGTCTAGGCTTGCGAGGAAGATATCCTTTGTTCGAGTACGAAGGATATACTCGAAAGATACTAAGGATATTATTAGTAATAATATTAATATCAAAAAGTATCTATATTAAGCTATTATATATATAATCCTAGTATATCGGTTATAGTGTTTTCTTAGGTAGCCGCTCCGTTATCTTATTAGTTAGAAGAATTATTAATTAAGAGTTCCTCCGAAGACTACTGCTCTGCGTTTATAACCTAAAGATTCCTACTCTAAGGATTAGGTATTACGCGTGGGGTTTAAAGTCCTATTATAGGCGGTTTAGGTGTATTAGGTGTATCTAGTAATAGCGATAAAGGGTTTAATTTAGCCTCTACTACTCTTACCCCCGAGTTTAAACCCGTGGACTATACTTATTCTTTAGAAGGTACGCTATTAATTAATCTACCCGAGGGGTAGACCTATAGGATAAAGCCGTTATCTTTATCTTCTTATATTTCGTAAGTTATAAGCTAGTTCCTCGCTTTAGGCTCCGGGATCTATTCTGCTTCTTCGAGCTATAGTTTATAAAACAGCTGCTCGTTAAACTATATATTACGCGTTATAATAACCTTCTAAAGCTATAGAATCTATACTCGGTAAATATTATAGGTAACGTAACTTATAAGATACCTAATATATCCCCTTAGTTAAACCTTATATAGTTTCCTATTCCTCCTAGCCTCCTTATCCCTTGCTATTAGATAGGCGCGGTAGCTATAAGTATAAATACTACTCTAATTAGGGCGTAGGTCGGCTATATGCTCTCTTATTAGAATCGGCGTATTCTTTCTAAGCCATAAGTTAAGGATTTCCACTAGGGATTTCTATCCGTATCGTTATAAGGGACTTATATTATAAAATAATGCTACCGTTCTAGTACTCTCTGGCTATTGATCTAATAGAATTCCTGCTCCGTTAAGTATAGTATTAGACTTTATAATAATTAGTTAACCGGCTCTTTCGCTGCCTCCGTTCGGTTTATAGGTGTAGGGCGGTATAATTTCTATATCGATCCCTTAACTACTCGCCTATAGCTAGGTTATTAAATCCCCTACTAGATTAACGATTAAGGGCTCGTTATCACTACGTATCTTATGGATATATAATATAAACTGCCGGTTAACCTATCGTTCGAAGGCTTATAACGCGTTATAGACTATAACGCTATTTTTCGAAGCTAAAGGTAGTATATGGATCTAGCCGCTATATTCGTCCTTTATTATAAGAAGATATCGTATACCATTATAGCTCTTAGGTAGCTCTTAAAGATCCTAATAAATACGCTAAAACGGTTATAGGGAGCGGTATTCTAATATATATTAAGATATAACTTAATATGCCTAGGTTCGGGAGTATATCTTATAGTCTATCCGCTTAATTCCCTTAATTGATATATTCCTAGCGTTATAAACTAATACTCGTAGAGCGCTTAGTCTAAGATAGCCTGCTCTTAAGTGCTATAACTATTCTTCGTCTACTCGCGGGCGAGGAGGGTCGCGAGAAGGTTAGTAATATCGGTAAGCTTTTTTTAGTCGATTAACTACTATAACTAGTATATATTAATAGTCGTAATTAATCGGAATAATACTACGTAGTATCGGTTAGAATAACGAATAAGAAGAAGAAGATAAAATTAGCTTATAATAAAGGATAGTTATATTAAAGCGTCGAAGCAGCTTTAATAAGACCACGCTCTTCTCCGCCGTTCTAAAGCGTAATAAGTAATTATAACCCGAATACTAAATCCTAACCTTATATAATAGAGCTTCCGATATAGTATTCGTGTAAAATCCCTCTATAACGACTATATCGTTAAGCTTTAAATTAGCTTTCGGAGTACCTAAAGGTCTATTAAGGATTCCCTTAAGAAGCCGTTTACCTTTACTAATAATCGGAAAGTCCGTTATACCGGATTTAATAGATCCCTTTATAAGAATAAAGGAGCCTAGAATAAATAGGTTAATTAAGTTAATAAGGTAAGTTATACTATAATTATTAAGAAGAGTACTCTATAAGAACGGGTAAGGGCTTAGTCGGAGCACCGCGTAAATCCTAGGGACCTTTTCTATAGTATAGATAAGGGCGGGATCCAGGATAGTTATAATAACCTTTCCAGGATACCTATCTCCCTTACTACTACCACTCTCCGAGTATTCCTATCTCTTTTTTAATACTTTTTCGCGTAAACTCTTCCACTTTAGGAGCTTAATCTCCTTCCGTATCTCCTTACACCACTTATCGTTAATATAGGTATTAGATCTCTACTCGTATTTTCCGGTTAAAGCGTACTCTAGCTTATTATAGTGCTCTGGCTTCTAAATATATTCGCGTTAATAGGGGTAATTAATACTCTTTTTCTTAGGCTTCTTTCCGCCTTCGTTATTATCTAAGCAGTCTCCTAGGGTTATATAAACGCCGTAGCGTATACCGTCCGTAGTTAAAGCGCTTATAATAGCGTTAAACTCGTGGCCGTATATTAGAAAATCGGAAGTCTTATCGCCGCGGACCTCTTTTATTACTAGCTCCTAAAGCTTAGTTTCTGCCTAAATAAGCGTAAACTTCTATCTAACTACTATAAGGAAGTTCTAAATAGTAGTGGGTCCTTTAATCTCGGCTACCTTTTACTAATATACGCGTCTAATAAGGGTATTTTACTCCGTATACTATATAGCCACTTTAGTATTAGCTTAACGAGCGTCTTATCAATACTTTTCGTATACTCGTTTTATCTCTTCCTTCGTATAAGTACTACTTAGAGCGAAGCTACTCTTAAGTTCTTTTATTATATAGCGTAACGTAAAGTATCGATTTTATTTTTCCTTATTATAGCTAGGATATTTTTTAATAGCCTTTTTAATAGCCTATTAATAGGTAAAAGTCTCCACGGTGGTTTTAAGTAGTTAATTAGCCTTATCGAGCGCCTTAATAAGGCGACTAAGCTTTTAATTCTAGGCTATAGTCTACTAATTCTTAATTTCGGCGAGGCGTATAAGCTCCTATATCGAGGGTATAATAGTATCGTCGCCTTTACCTTAAGAATACTATTCGCGTAGTTAATCTAGGGATTTAGGTATAATATACTTAGGACGGTTATCTAGCTAATCCTTTTAGCTAGGATCGAGTAATACCTAAACCTTTATCCCTTACGTATACGACTAGATATAGAAGATCTAATCGGCCTATTACCGCGTGGATTTAAGGCGCGGGATACTAAACGCTTTAGCCGTGATCTTAAGCTTATTCGATATAGTGTCGAGTAAGGGTTTAGCGAATAAGAGCTTATTATTAGGAGAGAGAGCGTAAGAGGGCTCCGTAATACTATAGAAGTATATAAAATAAATATAGATAATAGATTAGCAGGAAGTTACTGGTTACTACTATTACCCGGGCTTATAACTATTAAATTAACGGGAATATACTTATAGGGAGCGTTAATTCAGGAAATATATAATTATATTATATATAAAAGAGAAAGAAAAAAAGGGGCGGGTATACGTGTCCTAAATATATCTACCACCTTCTAAGCAAGGATAGTAAGGCACCTCTAACTAATAGGAGGTCACCACACCGTGGCTCACGTGATAGAATATAATAGTAATGGATCTAGGAAAGAGGTCGAAGACGCGGAGGGATAGCAAGTATCCCTCTGCTAATAACCGATAATAACCGATGATCTCTAATTAATATCTGCCTATGGGGGCGAGGGGGGGCTTACAGGTCAAAGCCCGATCAATGGTTAGTCTATCGACAGTCCTATAACAAAACTCCATGTTAACAGAGATATCTCTGTCCCGGCTCTGGCCAGCCCAAAACTCTCTGTTCGAGCTCTGACCTATAGGCCCCCTCCTCCCCCTTTAGGTACTTACCTTACTAATTAGGACAGCTGAGATACCTATGAGAAAAAGGTTGAATATGTTGCAGGCGGGGTATATGGCCATGATACGTCTGCAGATGTACTACAGAAGGGATTTAGTGTATTCCTCCGTACAAACAAGTCCTTCTTTGTCGGCTTCAGGCCAACTGCCCACATCGTGGCACGGTGCAGAACAAGTATAGGTACTGTGGTGTGGAGTGGGATGATGGACAAACAACCCACCACTGAGCGGGTCGACCTCAGCATTTACTTTACAACACAACCCACAGGTCCAATTCGTCCGGGTGCCTGCACAAGTTCGAACAGGCTACCAGCTACTCAGCTAAAACGATCCTCAGCTCAAGAGAATTCAAACCACGCACGTCTCTCTTAAGCCAGCACTTATGTGGGACGCAGGGTCTTGTCGCCACGGAGAAGATGGCGTGGAATTCTGAACAAGGCACGCGGGGCTTCCGCGAAGTGACGCTGAGCCCACCTTGCATGCAGGCTGCTACGAATCGCGTGAGTCGAAGGACACAGAATTTCCACCTCTTCTATAAAAGATGCGACGAAAATCTTTGACATTGTGGTCATGGGTGTAGTGCCAGCCTTTCTGCTAATACCGAAGGGACCCTTTCACAGTTCGGCAAAGGAGCTCGAATGCTCATCCGCGAACGAGAACGAGATTATCTGACTAGCAGTCCTGTCACCGTATCTAGTCTTGTTGATGGCGTCCCAGCTGGGCAGATTACGACCGAGAATCCCTGTTATGATGGTGGAGGTCGGCCGCCGCTGGAGAAGATCGTTCCTCGCATGCAGTATTATCGGAATAACCTGACGGCGCTGTCTCAGAAGTACAACGTATGGCTGCCCCCCGCCCTTTCTTCTGTTTCCAGTTGCGCTTATGCTTATAATTATCTTCTTCTGGGTGCTTAGCTTTACTTCGTCGCGTACGAGAACCGAATCTTCGTCTACCGCCCTCGAAATGTGCCGAGACAACCCCTACCTCAGGACCCCGATCTAATCCTGGCGACCAAGCCGGATGAGGTCGCCAAGCAGATAGGAGGGACTCTAGATTACCTCTTCGGTCACCAGGCCAATTCCATCGCCACGGGCTTCCTCGGACAACAAGAAGTCGTCGTCACCGCGTACGATGACGGGTCGGTGTTTGCCTACTACGTCAGGGAGATCGCCGAATACATCTGGTACGCAATCTCGGACAGGGTCGAGGGGCGGCCCAAGATCCCGGCGCCATTCTTCCGCGAAAACGTCGGCTCCTCCGCATGGGGTCTCGCCATCCATCAACTCTCTCGCCTCATTGCCGTCAGTTCTAACCGCTACGAGGTGACCGTGTTCGCGTTTGGGCTCACCCGGCAGCCCCGCGGTCGGAAGGCCGTGGGCCGGGATGATGCGGCCAAGTCAGTTGCCGAGCGGAAATGCAACTGGAGGATTATTTTACTCCTTGGGGACGGCGGTCACAACATTCCCAACATCACCTTCTGGGACGACCGCGACGGCCAAGCCGAGAAGGTATGTGCGATGGATATCAATGGCCAGGCTTGGGTCTTGGATATCTGGAATCCTTGTACAGCGCCTGTGAAGATCTCGCACATGTCTCAACCTCGTAGCTTGTCTTACACGTACCTTCCTGGGTAAGTTTCACGCCTATCTACCTCGTCTTCTATACCTCGTCGCCCTTGTTCTGGTACCGTCTTGGCTCAGCCGTGGCTAACTGGAGGTGGTAGTGGATGGGGCGTGCTCGTTCTCCCATATACCAGCTTTGTATCGGCTAGTTCCCCCAAGGATGCGTTCGGGGTGGGCCACCCCTCAATGGTTACAGTTGAACACAGAAGCACCAACAACGACTTCGCACTGGATATTTCAAAAAGCTTATTGTCCGTTCCAGATTCTGCAGTCGTGCCTCCAGAGGTCAGCGGCCCCGTCACACCACATCCCGTTCAACTCAACCTTAGCGCCCTTGCGGCTAATCCGATCAACATCATACTAACTAGTGTTCTCGGCGATCAGGCCCCATTTCAACAGGAGAATGCGTCCGAGGGCGAGGACGAGGAGGGGGCCAATGAGCCGGAGGAAGGGGAGGACGACGATGAGGAAGAGGAGGATGAGGATGAGGATGAGGAATACGAGGAAGACGAGGACGATGACGAAGACGAGGACGAAGACGAAGACGAGGACGAAGACGAAGAGGAGGAAGACAATGGCCCCCCCGTGGAGGACTTGATTGCGGAGATCGATACCGGATCCGCTCCCGAAAGCGAAGATCACGGCAGTGGTGAGGATCAGGTGGTCAGCCCGGGGCTGCCCATGGTGTCAACACTGAGTCTCGTGTCGCCGGGACTGGAGGGACCCTTGGTCGACGATTCTGACGGAGCCGAGTCGGACCCTGAATATAACGAATTCGCTCTGCTCGCCCAAGTGCTCGCGGGACCACCTTCTCCCTTTACCCCTCCGCATACGATGCATCACCACGGACTGTGGAGAGTCAGGCCGCGAGGCGCGGTAGACGGCCTGGTACAGATGACGACGCCCAAGTCGTATCCTTGGCTTGACATGCTCTACATGCCACATACGGGATCCACATATGTCTTCCCTTCATCTCTCTCCCAACGGATGTCGTTCCTCCGTCGGGCGTACGAGTGTAATCGGAATACGACAAGGCAGAACGAGGATACGCTCCGGGACCTGACGAACCGCGGCTGTTTATTCCGCACGTACATGAATGACGTGGAGCTCCGGAACATCAGCTCAGCGGGCGCTGCGATAGTCTGTCGCGGAATCACGGGTAACGTGCCGCGGGGCCCGTCATTTCGGCATACGGAACGCTTAAGCATGCTTCACCACGTGCCCGAGCTGTCCCTCGTGGTGATAGGTTCCGCGACGGGTCGCGTTGCGCTGCTGACGCCGACGCGGGCGTGCGGCGGAGACCACCACAACTTGGCCGAGGGCGTCGAAGGGTTGCCGCCAGCGACATCGAGCCGGAAGGCAAACGTGTCGTACGGGTTTCGCGTCGAGTGGCTTCTGCCGAAGGCATCGGACGAGGAGGGTAAGCTCAAATGGCTTCGGCCGTTGTACGGCATGGCTATCGGGCCGGTGCAGGACGTTGGGGACGGGGGCGGCAACTTGCTATTGCAACAACCAGGCCGGGGCCCGCCACGGGGGTTGGGAGCAGGGGGGAGGGCGTTCAGGTTGATACTTCACTACAGGGACCACACGATCATCAGCTATGAATTACGACGGGACGGTGACGGTGGGCTGGAGATTCTCTGATCTGCCTGGTAGGAAGTAAGGGAAAGCCGTAGCCGCCCAAACGAAAATCCTTTTTTTATCCCCCCGTTTGGGGGTATTGGGAAGGGGGGCTCGAACATGCAGCCAGCCGGTCGGTCGGTTTCTGCACAAAACAATGACAGGAGATATATGTACGTGTAAGCCGGGCATCGTGTAATTGCCTACCTTACTTTATGAGGACTTGGTTGTGAACGCTTTGGGACTTTTTTTCCGCAGGAATGGATTTTACCTATTACCATGAATATGAGATAAGACGACCAAAACGGGTATGCCTCCCATTTCTACATATAGAGAAAAAAGTTGGTTTGTCGTGCGAAATACGTAAAGTGAGCAGGCGAGCGGGAGGAGAGCGGATCTTCCGCCACCGGAACAAGGAAAGCGTCGTTGATCCCAGCTTTTCGGGATGAAACGGAGGGATCACCCATGGACATTACTTACAACGTAATTACCTTACTCACTTCGTGGTTTTGCAAGGGAGAAAACCCGCACCGAGCTGATGCCGGAGTTAAAAGTGCGGAGTACGCACCTAGGCCGTTTGGGGAATACCAATGCCGCATTGACATTACGTTGACACGAAGTGGCCGAAGATCGACGTCGACCAGTAAGAGCACTCGGTAAGTCGGTAGGTCCTTCCCCCAAGCAAGGCTTGACCAAGAGCTTTTACGAATACCATTTTGTTGTACTTGACGGAAGGTACCGAGGTACCATGTATGGATACATGACTTCTGTACCTAATCCGTACCCGTGGATTTTCTTTCTTATCTCAATTCCCCATTGGTGGAGGCTCAGAGATTTTCTCTTCATTATAGGTACCAGAAACTGCATGTTTCTTCGTTTTTAACGTGTACTTCGTAATTACGGGATATCCTTCTCGATTTCCCAAGTTGGGTTGGTTCTCGTCTGAAAATACCAATTATGATCCAAAACGCCAGTTTCGGTGAAGTGCGTTATGATCAGCCTCTGCGGGCGCAATGAGTGTCAAAGGCTGCGGGTAGTCGATGTGGGAGGCTTGGCAGTCGCCCAGAAGTGGTAGATCGATCTTGCCAAGTTCGGTCCCTGAGAGCCCATCGACGGAACATTTTGAACCACACAGGTGGGAAGGGACGACCGGGGGAAAAGTTACAGTTGCGGTAGAAACATGAGTGAAGGAGTGACGGAGTACGGATACCTGCGGATGTACGCATACGTTATGAAAACTCATACGGATATTTACATTTACGGAGTGTCCGGAGTTTTGCTTCAATTTTCCTTTTTCCATCACCCGAACCCCCCGTTTCTCATCCGACTTTTTTTTCGTGACCGATCACCATTGCTCACACTTTGATCAACATCCCCATCTCACGGAACTGCAGAACCTCAGAACAGAACAATGGGAAATACGTTGTACCCTCGCCCCACGATCCACACCTCCAGGTGGGCCCCTGGTCCGTCGTACACGTACTAATACCTATTATCCTGATGTTTTAGATCCCGCTTCACCCACCATCGCGTTCCCTAAGGTGCCCAATATCAGCCAGTCACAGCCCTTCCTGTCGCTATCTCTCTCGGCTTTTATTCCTGGGGTCAACCCTATTACCATCCATCTCTTCCCATGCCATCCCGGATGTCTAACTATAACCGCTGACTTGTATACCCGTTTCAGCTCTTATCATCAACTTTCGTGTAATTCGAAAAAGTCAACGACATCAAAACCTCATACATCACCACCCATCTTGGTTATCTTTGTCGCAACCATCATGGCGGCCCGAACCCCCCCCACCCCCCCCCCCCCCCCCCCCCCCCCCCCCCCCCCCTTTCCTTTTCTAGCGCCCCCGTGTCTCTCCTTCAGGCATATGCCGTGTCCATGGATGATGACATCCCTGACAGGCAAGGCATTCAGTACTAGGCTTTGGATATATATCTTTCGGTGTCTCTCTGTCCGTTTTGTCTTTTCCTCTCCCGAGACGCCTAGAGTGTTCCACACTACACATCTATCAGACATCTCTCCGATTCATGCGCTTTCCTCCATCCCGGCTCCTTTCAGAAAAACTACCTGGGTCCCGACATCACCAGTCCTAGCGTTCGATATCCTCCTCTCCTGAACCTGCACCACGACGCCGCAAGTAAAGGGCCCGCCATGTCGTACAGCTGGATAGGAGCTCCCACCGTCTTCAATGGCACCAACTCAGACTATGGTGGCAACTCGGGTAAGCGTCACTCGTGTCCTGCTATTTGCTTCTCCTTGACATTACTGCATGCAGACCGAACACGTGGGGACTGGGACTAACATCGTGTCACTCCATCTACAGCCACCCAAAACCTCAACCAATGGTACCAGGCTGGCGACCAGGCCTACATCCTCCTCTCCGCCAATATTGTCCTTATGATGATTCCCGGCATCGCTTTCCTTTACTCAGGTCTCGCTCGCCGCAAGTCTGCCCTCTCTCAGCTCTGGGTCGCCATGATGACCTTCTCCGTCGTCGTCTTCCAGTGGTTTTTCTGGGGATACTCTCTCGCCTTCAGTGAAAGCGCTACCAACGGTTACATTGGCGACCTCAAGCACTTCGCTCTCATCAAGGTCCTCGCCGCCCCGTCCCCAGGCTCCCCGCTGATCCCCGCCCTTCTGTACGCCTTTTACCAGATGATGTTCCTCGCCGTCACGGCCGCTCTTACCGCCGGTGCCACGGCCGAACGTGGCCGAGTCATCCCTTGCATGGTCTTTATCTTCTTCTGGGCCACTCTCGTCTACTGCCCCCTGGCCTGCTGGGCTTGGAACGTTAACGGATGGGCCCTCAACTGGGGCGTCCTGGACTACGCCGGTGGTGGCCCTGTCGAGATTGGCTCCGGTCTCTCTGCCCTCGCCTACTCCTGGGTCCTCGGCCGCCGCAACGACAAGATGATGCTCAATTTCCGCCCTCACAACGTCGCCTTCATCACGCTTGGCACTATCCTCCTCTGGTTCGGTTGGCTCGGCTTCAACGGCGGCTCCGCTTTTGGTGCCAACTTGCGTGCTGTTATGGCCTGCTTGAACTCGTGTCTCACTGCCATGTTCGCCGCCATGACTTGGTGTCTCCTTGACTACCGCCTTGCCAAGAAGTGGTCCCTCGTGGGCTGGTGCTCTGGAACCATTTCCGGCCTCGTCGCAGCGACTCCCTGTTCCGGCTTGATCCCTCCCTGGGCGTCGGTCATCCTGGGCATCGTCGCGGGCATTGCCTGCAACTTTGGCACCAAGAGTCAGTTCCCCCCCCCCCCCCCCCAACTCCCTTTTGTCACCCGTTTCCATTCTCTATAGGAGTCCCCGTTTCCCAGTCATCGTTCGGACCCCAAGAAGTATTGGCTGACATCAAGTTGGTTTTTTTGACGCATTATAGTCAAGTTTATGCTGAAAATCGACGACTCGCTGGACGTCTTCGCGGAACACGGCATCGGCGGCATTGTCGGCCTCATCTTCAACGCCTTCTTCGCCACTGCCGACATTATCGGTCTCGACGGTGTCAACACGGGCGCCCAGGGCGGCTGGCTCGACGGCAACTACAGAGCCATGTACGTCCAACTCGTCTACATCGTGGCTACCTCGGCATATTCGTTCATCATGTCAGCGGCCATTGCGAAGGCCATTGACCTCGTACCGGGCCTCAAGCTGCGCGCCTCGGAAGAGGCCGAACTCCTTGGTATGGACGACGACCAGCACGGCGAGTTCTCCTACGATTACGTCGAGGTCCGCCGCGACTTCCTGGCCTGGACTCCGGCCCATGCCGATCCTGCCTCCGAAGCTGAGTGCCTCGTCCCGAAGCACGGTATCGTGGAGCACCAGCACATGGCAGATGATCATTGCGTCCGAAGCGTTACCACTGAGACGAAAGGGATGAAGCACACGCCGGCCGATTCGGAAGTGGAAGTCGAGGCCGGGAGCGAGGTGTTGGAAAAGCCCACGAGGCAGTAAGGGGGACGGAACGAGACACATTCCTTTTTCTTTTCTTTTAATTTTCTTTTTCGCTCGATCAACGCGTGTCGATCTGTCGTTAAAAATGAGGTCAAGCAAGGTGTTTGGGAGTATATGATGTGGGTTGCCACTCTTCTCAGGGGGGATTAGAACAAGCTTCTGTCGTGGTTTCGGGTCGCGAGTTTTTATTATTTTTTCCATTTCGGCAGCAGCAAGCAAAAAGTAAAGCGGCATATATCTTGGGGTTTGCAATCATTTCATATCCCAGCAGCAGTGGGCTTCACAGCCTTGTTATCCTGGCTATCTTAGAATCAAACAACAAAAGATCTTGACGTTCATCGCCCATAATAATTATAAGCAACCAGCGGGTAGCTCGGGTAGTGATTTGAGGTTCAATCGAGGATGTCCCCTGCTCTAGATCTTTCTCTCGGAAACCGACAGCAGAAATGATAAGAACACGCGCTGTTACTGGTTCTCGCCACAGACGGTTCGTGTTCACATTCTGACGGTGGACGAACTCAGCTGAATCAATAATGCTCGGAAATACGGAATAGGGATGATATATCTTTAGAAAAACAACAGGGTCCGAGACCAGACTAGCCCAGGCGGGAAATGGCCGAAAAGTAAATAAAAATATATACTATGAAAAGAAGAGAAGGTAGCTAAAGCAAAGAACAGGAAAGGAAAGAAAATACCCCTGAAAGGCCCGCCTATCCGCAATGCCACGAGCTCGTCCAGCGAACCATCTCGTACACTCTATCACATTATCCATATTATATGACGACATACTTTCCTTCTTGACTCGCACCTCCCTCAAGTTGCTTCATATAGGCCGCCCATCGTTCACAGATCCGTAGGGGAGTACATCCACTTCACCAAAGCAAGCGTGATCGAAGTCCGCCAGAGCCGGCATGGCTTCCTGCACCTCCAGGAACGTTTCGAGCTCACACCACCCGTCGACCCGTTTACTGTCACACTCCGGGAAACTGACCCCGAGCGGTAACGTCCGCTGATTCAGTACGAAATGGATGTATTTGGTCTCTCGCCCTTCATCCAGGTACCTGGACCGGTCGGCAGCGAAGGGTTTCGGGGTGCGGATGATCTCTATATCGAGCCGGGCCCCGAAAGGCGTGATGTGGGAGACGGTAAAGTCGTGAGGGCCGGGATACGCATCGGGCTTGAGGAGGCCAGCGAACTGTTTGAAGCCGAAAGCTGTGAGAATGGAGGCAATGTTGGTGTCGTGCGAAAAGTCGAAGTAGAGACTCTGGTTCAAAGGGAACGTCTCTTCATTGTTGTCTAGCGTGACGTTGATCTGAGAATGTGAATATTCGAGCGTGTGGTTCTTGATCCGGGCGATGACCTCTTGTTGATATCCAAGTCCTACGGCGCGCTGAACCGAGAACAATCACCCCCAAAAGTCAGTATGGTTTTCATATTTGGCCGATGGAAATGCGACATGAACCGACCGGTTCAACCGCATCCAGCATGCTCACAGGCCTCTTTTGAACTTACCCCAGTAGGATTCTGGAACGCATTGTTGCCAGCGAATGCGAGGTCGATCGAGTATGAGAAGCCGATCCACTCCTCGTATGTGAAGAGGTTGCACCAGGAGCTGTAACCATAGGCGACCTGTCTCGTTTGTCAATAACAAAGCGCCTAGGGTGTTATACAGTCTGCTGGCAGAGAGCAGGGTTTCCTGGAAAGAGCCGCACCGTCTCGTATGGGCACAAGGTTTGGGCCGAGTAGGTGTCCTCAACCGTCCAGTCGAGCCCCTCAATCATACCCTGCAAACGTGTCGTCGCTGTCGAAGAATCAGCTACAAGCCCTTCCCCAGGAACACTGGCTGTCATTTGGGAGGGGTGAAGTCGCACCATTCTTCAGATAGTTGGCCTGCCACTCCTGAGAGGCTTCAGACCCGCCATTCTGTTTCCAAGAGTTGGGACAGTTGAGGTAACCAGCAAGCGAGTTATTGGCATGGTTTTGTTCAATGATGACCTCGATCGTGGCATTGTTCGTCCTTTACACACGTCAGCTCACGGCCAGCCCATGTTCACAAAACTAGCAACGAGGCACAACATCACGAGCACTCACCACTCGAGGCCAAAAAATCCCGCAAGGAAGTACTCAGCGGATTTGAGCATCCGATCTTGGGTCTTGAAATCCACTCCTTGTCAGCACAAGTCAGATGGCGCGACGAGGGTGTTCTCGGGGTTTGCGGCTTGTCCCACGAGCAACGTACCGTCGTTCGAACGATAATCTTGGTATTAGGATCGTAGAGCTGGGAATACATGTATGAATGCAAGATACCTGTAACGTTGAGAAACATGAGTTGTGATTCTCTTCGACAAGACTTTCACCGAGTGAGTGGGTGGTTTACGCGGCCAACTTACCGGATTCGAAGAGTTCAGAGCGGCCTGACAGTATCGAGTTAGCGCGAAAGAAGGGCGTGGAAAAAAAGAGGGTGAAGCAAACAGAAGCGCCCATAAATGTAAACTCACCCTTGGGAACCAAAATCTCGTGCCCGAGCTCATAGCTCCAATGATTCAAGAACTCCAAATCTCCCTTAGCAGTGAGCTTGCCGCTGGCGTTCTTTATTTTCTCGCCGAATCCAGCAACACCAGAATCCAGCGTCGGGTATCGAGATCCGTGACGCGAGAGCATCTACCGGTAATGGTAAGCCGCCATCACGCAATCGTCGAGTTGCATCCCATCAGATATGGAACCCACCTGAACTTGAATGAGCTCAGCCCCCTCGGGGAGGGAGTACTCATCAACGCCGAAACCTGGAGCCGGTTCATATGGGGTCAAGTAACTTCGAGTCGAAAAAAACAAGAAAAAAAAAACAAGGCAAAGTGTGTCAGCAGCCCACGGAGGAATATTACATAGTACAGCGAAAGCAGAGAGGAGAAAGAGAGGAGAAGCTCACCCCATGAGCTTGAAGATGCTTTCGTTATGACTCCCCATCCCTTCAATGGGCACCGACGTCTGCAAAGGATGGTTCGGCACATAGGAATAGGTCCCAGTCGGCAGCACTGCCGTCTGTGCCACAAACGGCGCTTTCCCGGTGGCCGTCGGCCCGGCCCACATCGGCGGGGTTGTCTGGAAATACTGTGGGACATCGGGCTTTCCAGAGCCGTTGTCACGACAGGGGCAATCTTCGAACGGGGTAGGCGGCGGCGGACGGGTTCCCTGCCACGCTAGCTCAAGTACGGCTCCGGCCAGAAGGCACCCGGCCAGGGCGCACAGGAAGACGATCAAGGGCCGGCGACGGGAACCGAGACCGGGCGCCAGTCCTGGACTAAAGTCGGGAGACATGGGCATAGGTATCGAAGGTAAGTCGGGGAGTGGTTTGTCGGGCAACCGCTTCGCATCTCCCGCGTCTCCTGTCCGTTGGTGGGTGGAGCGGTGGACCCCCAGGGGCCGTCCTTGGACCAAGTCGTGATCCAAGTCTCCTTCAGGGACGAGGCGATACCCTCGTGGATGATTCTGGCGAGTCTTCTCTGCGGCCGGCATATTGAATAACGGTGCTTGAATCAGAGCTCTTGTCACACGGGTCCTCTGGACTCTTTCTGTGTCTGGCCTGGAGGCCGTTGAAATGCAGCCACCAGCGAGGCGCAAGTGGGAATTTTCTCCAAGGCGAGACAAGGAAGCGCACAACTCCGGGTAAGGAAAAAGGGACCGTTCAGATGCTTCTCTTCACCCCCCAGGAGCACGGATAAGCCAAGCTGGAACGACCCTGAAGGCAACCACACACACTATGGGTGTGTGTAAATCAAGAGAACGGACGGCTTAGTCCGGATCAGCCGTCTTGGACCTCAGGACCCTGTCGATCCTCCTCCCTCTGTTCAGGGGCGCATCTGTATGGAAACGCGGTGAAGGAAAGGGCTAAAGAGAAATTGCCGAGAAAAGCAACGAGTCGAGAAGAAGAGAGGGCATATCCTGGTGTAATGTTGGGGGGCACCGATGGTGATATGGTACTTACTTTTTCTAAGGGACGGCTTTTCGAGCTCCTGAGTAAGGTAAGGTATGTAGGTAGCAAGAAGCTTATTAGGGTCAAGGGAGCTGCAGCTGGTCCGTTAGCACGATGGCACTGAATTGTACGTACCTCTTTGTAGGTACGTCGACGCGTCCGGGGATAAACCGAGAACACGTGACATTCCAGTACCTAATTAATAAGCAAGTTAGAGACAGCTTTGTTCTCCAACCCCCTACCTTAGGTATCGTGTTTACCTAATATACAGGACGTCTAGCAGGTAAGTCAAGGGTGCTGCGTCTTTACAACGTACCTTACCTTAGATGAAAAGATCAAGCCCTAAAATAGTAGGTGTTCCCTCCTATATTCATGGGTTTTACCAATATTATCCGTGGTTTATAGGCGGCACTGAGACCAAGCAGAAATTGGGAGCGGGTCATTGAAGGACTTCGTTCACGTGTCCGTATCCGGGGTACGCAGTGCAAGTCACTTTATATCCTCTTCGGATATGTGCCCCATATCTCCGAAAGTAGCAAACGACGACGCTTCTTCGCTGGCTGGGTATAATTAATTAATATCTCGTTAGTTTCTTGGATCTTAGCCAGCTCACAACGCATCAACCCAACCCCTCCTAGCCAGGCGGACTCAGCTCCGGTATGAATCAGTACTCTGTAGTGGCTGTGCTTCGTCCACGTTCTAGACCGCAAGCTCACTTGCTCGTTGCTTTTCCCGCTTCCCTCTTCACTGCCCCTTCCTGGGAGGCAGCATATGATTCTATGAAAGGGGTCGAAGGCCCGGCGAGGACGTAGGAAAAGCAATATTCGTTCAGCTTCTACGCTTGACACCGCCTTCATTCAACTACCTACATGGACGCATTTGCAACACCGGCCGTGGCCCAGAAGAAACCCTTGGGTTCAGGTTCATGAAGCCGTCCGCCCATCTGCCTCATATTCAGGTGCCTCTATTCGCACTAGCGTCTCTTTCGTCCTCGTATGATCAACGCGTGAGCTCATGCACGATCGTCGTTGACACCGTTTTGAACGTGTCTTCTCCCGGTCGTGGCCCTTCCGGCCCGGGCTGGCTTCTGTATTCTCGCAATACGGACTCTCGACCTAAGCTGTCATCACTGGAAACAAGTAAAAACAACACACCGTTCCTCGACTAGAGAGTACTAACCAAACATTTAGTGAATGCGGTGGTTGTCTGCGCATAGTGTTTTGATATTGGCCTGGTGGAGCGCATGCACGGATTAGTAGACTCGGGTTCCATTCATGCATGCATGACATTCGGGTAACCGGAGGTTTGCATGCAAACAACCCACCACTGTCCCATTCTGGTCACTGATCAGCCTAGAAATCCGCCCCTCTCGCGAAGTGAACTCTTTGGCACAAGGCGATATTATCATGTATTGCGCAAGCGGCTTGATTAGAGTCACGCATAGGCGCCTGTTTCACCACCCGTTCCAACCAAGGATCGAGGCGTGTAGTGTATACTGGTCTACTTGTAAGCAACGGATGAGAAGAGAACAGATCAACTTTTAGGGTTAAGCGAAGCCGGCCCGATTCCAAGTACAAAGCAAAACGCAAACGATGCTATAGACTCCTATGCACCATGCCTCGAGGGTGATGTATGCCAGTTGCAATAAACCAACCGAAGACGCCAGATTATCACCCGTAGTATTGGATAGTGCCAGTAAAAGGCGGGTTTGAGTGATTCCACCGGAAATGGTCGTCCGTTCACTGTTAGTTGGTGTTGATGCGTAGAGGGAAGAATCCCTCGGGCATGGGCTGAAGATGCCAGGCACGATCCGCTTCCCTCTCAAAGGCATCGAACCAGTGACGCCTGAGTTCCTCGGGAATGGCCCAACCCTGCTGAGTATCGCGTAGCAACATGCGTACGAGATGCCGCTTCTCCTGGGGACCGTCAACAAAGCCCTCCCGACGATGGAGCACGGCAAAGTTGTTGATGAAGTGAATGTCGCCGGCTTGGGTCTGGATCTCAAGCTGCGTGGCCCGGGCAAGGGCTTCGACGGCATTTAGAGCTTCTATCTGTCGCGAGGTAAGGGCCGGGAGGTGCTCAGGACGGGGGTGCGCAGCGCTTCCCATCAACGGTGTTCGACCGAAGTTCATGATGATCTTGCCGCCGTGGTTGAAAAGGATGGGTCGGCACTGAAATCGGGGCCTAAGAAGCACGAATGGTTAAAAAGAGGCCACAGAAACAGGCCCGATGGCAGATGACTCACAGAGAAAACGGCCAGTCAGAACCAGCCAGAGTGCGGATCATGTCAGGTCGAGCAGTGGCCAAGATATTATAGACGGTATGAGCAGAAGCGAGGATGCACTTCCCGCCTTTGGCAGCGGTATCTCTCGTCAGCCAGCTGACAATGTCACCCGCCTCTTCATTGTGGAAACTCTGCGGCACGTGTTAGTACCGAGAAACAGGTGTCTGAGTAGAGGAGAGTTACACACGATGGCCGAGGTGGAATGTCGATGATGCTCCGCCTTCTGGGCAGTTGAGTCGTCGGCGACGATGTGGACTACGATGTAGAGTGAGAGACTGGTCTGCGAGAATTGAACGAGGACAGGACGCACCTAGCATGTTTCCCCTCTTGTCCTGGCGTCCTTGCTGGTCGGCAATGTGGACCTGGATGCCCAGATAAAGGAGAGTGAGGTCTTCGACGCTATAATTCTCCGGCTTCAGACCGCGGATGAGCGCAAAACCCCGACCAGAATAGATGTCCTGGGCGACCTGACTGAGTTTCTTGGACAGAATGGGAAGCGGGAAGCTGTGACGAGTAACATGACCGCCGTCTAGGTCAAGACCTGAACAAACAGTCAATGGCAAGCTGGGCAGTGAACACGGTGTGGATGGAGCCGAGGAAAAAAAGATCTCCAACTAACCCTTGAAATGAGCGAGAGCTTCCTCGAGCTCCTCAATCTCGACCGCGGCTAGAAGCAGGATAAACTCGGACGGTTTGCTGGCATAATTGGCGCCAGTCCAGGCAGCGTCGGAGGTGATCGACTCGGGAAATCCACTTGGAAGGGCCGAGAAATCAACGGCACCCGAAGAGCAACCCTCCTTCGAGAAGGTCGAAACCTCGGCCGCGACAACGGGTGGGAGGGTGGTACCATATGCCATTGTCACGGCTGACGGCCGGGATAATCAGCCCACTGGAAACGAATAGACGTCCTCAGGGCACCCACCTTCAGTGCTCTTGGCTAAGGTACGATGAACTAGCCCGGCTTTGATGAGACGGAATGTTCAAGGAGGGCAACACGCCGGTCAATCTCTAAGGGTCGGGTGAAACGGCTTTGCAAGGGTATAAACAACGACAACGTGACGATGCTGGATCGTGAGGTTTTGCTGAGTGAATAAAGAAGGAATGGAGGTGGTGTGGACTGGTAAGAGAGGGAGATTTGTTGGTTCTGACAAAATAGGACATTGTCAAGAGGAACTGGGAGAGGTAAGTTCTATATAGTCGCAGTAAGCATCATGGGCACCTGCTAGGCCACAGGGGCTGGTGGGAAAGGACGTCTCAGGGGGGAAGGGGCAGGTACAACGGGTGTTCGTGAGGAAAGAGGCAGAAGGCAGGAAGCCGCAACCCTAGCTTAGACCGATAGCAAAACCAACTTTAAAACTGAGAAGGTGGCGTCCCGTCAACGGAAGGCAGGACTGGCCGTTATCTTCACAGACGCCGAGTGAGCTCAAAGCCCCGTAGCTTAGGTACGTGTTACAGGGGAAACGCTGTAAGAGAGAGATAGAGAGAAAGTTTGTTTTGGAAAGAGGGTCAAGGTAAGGTAGGGTTGGGCGGACGTTCACCGACAAGTTAGCTGTACGCAGCCGCAACTCCAAAAAGAAGAGGAGACAGAAAGAGAGAAAAGGAAGAAGAAGAAGGTGGGGGGGGGGGGGTCTGTGCCGCGGAACGGGAATAGGAATCAGATATTGGACGGGACTGGGGGATTTCCAGGTTACGATATCCCCGTCTTAATCTCAGGGAGACGGTCAACGGTCAGAGGATTTTTTTTTCTTAATTTCTTAATTTCTTTTGTTTCTTTTTGCTTTTTCCTCTTCCGATCACCAGGTAGGTCCCTGACTTAGATTCACCGTATGGTTGCATACATGCATACCTGCCCTTCCGAACGGAAAGCAACCGAACGCGGTTAGGGACAGACGCGCCACCCGAGATGGGAGACGAGGCAGCCGAGATGCACCAACCCAGCCCGTAAGCGCCGGGTCCGAGACTGGGATGCCGGCTTGTAGACGTCCTATCGGCAGCCAGCCTTGGGAAATGCACTGACGAAATGATGTCGAACTCTCGGCAGTAGGAGCAAGCAAGGATAGGGGGGGCTCATGGAGGGGCTCATGGAGGTGTGCTTGATGAAGCCGGTGGGGAGGGGGCGGGACATATGGGAGAAGCGAGAAGAGTGGTAATTACGGATAGAATACCACGACGTAGGCGGGCCTATGGGTCTATTGGTATGGAGTGCGTGCGTACTCGACACACACGACAGTCGAAACGGGTTTGCTGGATGCAAGACGCTGACCCTGCCACCCCGAGATATGGAGCAAGAGCCAAGCGCGATAACGGCGTGTAGAGTGAGTCAGGTAGAAGAGGAAGAGGGAGCCAACGACAGACAAGGCCCGTGTCGATATGTCTCAGTTTGATAACTATCAGGTCAGTGTCGAAGCTGAACGGATAATTAGATGCCACGTAATTCCATACGTACCCTCGCCTAAGAACGATCCATGGTATGTATGGCTTCTTTCCCTAATCACTCCTAGAGATTATTGCCGTGCGTCTTGCCGGGAAACTTGGACATGAAGGCCCCGGCGCAAGACAAGACAGACAGGCGAAGATTCCGCACAACTCTACACCGATTTTTTTTTTTTT